TACTGAATTGCGATTTACTGCAAACTGACAGAATTGAATTCTGACGGACATAATTGAAATTATGACTGACCCTAGTTAGCACAGGCTATAATTAGACTCAACGCAAAACTACAATTCACAGTATCTTTACCATTCCAGTACAGAATTCACAGTTCAATTTTGGATGGAAAAGAGTCAAAAGAGGGTAAGAAATGAGCAGAAGGAGGTAGGGGAGAGATGGCTATGGCTGTCATGCAGTCTGCGAATTTTTCATTTCAAACACTGACAGACAGACAGACCATTAATACTAACTATTCTAACCCTATCTGAATCGCTATACAGAGATTTGCATGGAACGGACTCACTTTCAGAGTTTCTTGCAGAGCTTGATGAAGATCTGGCTATGGTAGACTGAAACCCTCATTTCGCCAATTTCTTCCAGAAATTCCTCCTCTGTCCTCCACGCATCAAATCTCTCCAGAATCGTTGATCCTGTTCAGGATCCTGAGGCGCTTCAGCCCCTCTAGTCAGATTCACTGAATCTGACCCTGTGGCGCTCAGAAAGCCAACAGAAGATTATGTTGCCACAGTGCCTGGCAACCGTTGATGCTATAAATAGCCCTAGATGGGGTTAATCTCGCCTGGGATTGACACAGACTGTCAATCCACCTCAGCGCTGCTCAGGGATGAAGCCGCTCAGAGGTCTCTGAAGTCCTCAGGGGTAATTCGCCACTCTGAGGCAATTCCCTGTATTGCCCTCAAGGTTGGCTATGGCGAATTAGCCCTGTTCTCGCCACTTCCTGCCAAGCGCCTTGACAGGCTCAGTGCGCTTGTTCAATGCAAACACTGAACTCCTCATTTCACCGCTTGAAATCTTCGTCTCTACTGTCTCGGTACTAGAGAAGGAGAATCGCCATGAAACTTCTTGCCAGTAGGTCGCCAGATGAAGAAGACGCCTCAGTTGCACTCAACCCTCAGTGTTCCAATTCCAATCTCGCTCCGATACCAACTGTTATGAACTTGGTTGTCTAACGATTTTCTCGCCACTCACATACAGAGTGTCTGACACATGCCCATACACATACCAGACAAAGGGGAGAGGAGACAAAGTCCAAACTGCACACAGACAAAGATAAGCAGCGGAATTCAACCATGCACAGGTGGGGAGAGACACACAGTGGTTCTCACTCTCTGACAGACTCCCAACAACCAATCACAGGAAGACACCTGCGAGGATAACAATCGGAATCACACTGATGATGAGGCAACTCAAACCAATAATCGTTACATAGTTTATCTCAGTATCTCACCACTCTCAGAACCCCACACACCACTCTCTATCCTGCACCCAGTTAGTAGTGCAACACATAATCCGCTTCTCAGAGCCCAGCGTCAACCATCCAGATGAAGAACATGAATCGCGATGAAGTCTTCTGTGCCGATGAGTATCTCTGACGAAGAAGATGACATCTATGGATGCCACACCACTAACAAGCCCTGGCGGACTCTGAGGAGCGAAGGGCGACAGTGGTCCACCCACATACGCTCAGTGAAGAGCCTCTACACAGCCCAGCCAATCGCAAATACCCTCAGGGGGTAGATGCGCAGAGGGTGCCTCCGCTATGGCAAACCCTGCTAGGCTGGCTATGGCTGCCGTCCACGGTGAGGGTCTCAGGATGCCGCCTGTAGACAATCGCCGCTCACAAAATTGCTTGGCTCCAGAACGCTGTCTCGCGAAAATGAAATGCCAGAAGTCCCTAACTTACAGGCTCAGTCCTATTAATAGACTAGCCTACTCTAGACCTAGACCTACTGGACCAGTACCGCATCAGTTTGGCCTGTTCGGCCTGGGCCCTACCCGGCTATACGGCGTCTAACCCGTCTCTACAGCCCAAGGTCCAGATGGGCCTGCTGTCCTAGTGATAGCCCGGGTCTGCTAAGGGCCGTAACGGCTAAGGGGAACTCAGGCCTGCAATTTTTGTGTAAATTGCAGATATGTCCCTCACGAATTTCCCTAAGGCCTAAACCGGCGGTTAGTCCCTGACACAAACAAAATTACGAATCTGACCCTAAGAGTCTAAGACACGACTATACAACCTCGCAGTCAGATCTCGGCAGCAGAAATCAGCAAGTCATTGCAAATGATGGCTCCATGGTGGAGAATTGACTAATTGGCAGGTCCATACTCTTGGGCCTTGGCGATACCCCAAACCCTCTTGACTGATTAAACCACCAGTCCATCCGCAGACGGCACTGTAGATTTTGCTAGTACACAAGTACCGGTCCGAAATCTACAGCACCCAGGTCTGGTAGAGGCCCGGTGGGAAGGGGCGACTGTAGGTTTTTTTCAAAGGCCACCACTGTAGATTCTATTTTTTATTATTATTTTTGGACCATTTCTCGATTTATGTGTGTCATCCTTGCACAGGGGCCTGGACCCACTAGCGAAGTATTCTACGATGTGTGACACAATTTTATGGTTTTTTGGAAAATACAAAGTGATTTTTTATTTGCATGAATGGATCGTTTTCTGATTTAAAATGAATTGAAATAGCACATAAAACTATGAAGAACAGCTGTGCACCCGAATTCATGGGTTGGTGCGATTTCCGTCAGGTAAGTCTTCATAGTCATGTACCATGGCAATAAAATGTGTCCACGAACACAGCCACGAGGATGAACAAGTAATGGGTATGGGGATACATTCATCACCATGTATCTCATGATGCGTCTAACAGGCCATCCGACAGACGCGGAAGCTCCTGTCAGATCCACCACGATATCTGAATTTCAGATTTCAAGTTCGATTTCTCAGAGCTAAAAAAAAAGAAAACGAAGTCTGGAAATCAACCCCCCCCCTTTCGAGTCCAGAAAATCCAGACTTCCCGCCCACGCAAAGCCACGAGCTATCATGTCCAACTTTGCTGGGTTTTTTTTTTCGACGCATCTCATTGGACAGGAGGTGGGCATCTTTACAGTCCCCGCTCGGAAACTACCAGGCCATTGAGATCCGATCTATTCGATGGCCGTACTGTGTCACTCGAGGCCACACGTGATCGAAATCCTGAACGAAGTGGTAGAATACTTCGCTAATGGGTCCAGGCCCCAGGGGCCATGCTAATCTTCTCTGTATCGTTCCAATTTGAACCATACTTGCAGCGCATCAGTGCGGTGCGCACCTGTGCCGTGCGCGCACTCGTGCGCGATGCGCGCGCACTACTGCGCAGTGCGCAGTGCGCCGGTGCGCTGGGGCGTGCGCGTGACGAGCGCAATTTCGCGCATGGTGCGCCGTGGTATACATGGATTTTTTATTTTTTTTTCTTCGTGATACACCGAGTTGACGAGTTAACCCCGTAGAGAGAGAGAGAGAGAGAGAGAGAGAGAGAGAGAGAGAGAGAGAGAGAGAGAGAGAGAGAGAGAAGAAACCGTGTGCTGACACTATCGGACCAAAGAAACCGCCCTTATCAACGGGCAACATGAATCCGGAAGCGGGGCGACATGCACAAAGGACAAATAATATGGCGTTGTATCTTTCCATGTTCTGGCGGAAGATTCATTCATTCTTTGGGTGGTGGAGAGCGAAGGGCCGATGAATCAGGTAAGCACGTAACGTATCTCTGGAAGCTTTCTTTTTTTTTTTTTGGAGAATCTCTGAGCAAATGAGACTGAATCCTCCGCTTGAACATGGAAAGATACATTTCCATATATGTCTTCTTGTGCATGTCGAGAGTAGTGCAGCGAGCCAGTTGGTAAACATTACCTTTGAGGTTCTGACAGGTTGGACGCGCCGGGCTTCACTCGTGCAAAGAAATTCTTCCTTTACGTTTTTTTCTTTTTATTAAAAAAAAAAAATCCAGGAAAAACGGCTGTCAGTTCCRTCGTTKTCTACTTCAGAAGTAATACGAAGAGAACGTTTTGAGAGATCGCGACCCTCATCATGACTGAATCTGGCCTGCAAGAACCCTACCATACAGACTGCAATTACCGTTGAGGTTCTGACAGGTTGGACGTGCCGGGCGACACTCGTGCAAAGAAATTCTTGATTTTTTTCCATTCCAGGAAAAACAGCTGTCAGTTCCGTCGTTTTCTACTTCAGAAGTAATAAGAAGAGAACGTTTTGAGAAATCGCGACCCTCATCATGACTGAATCTGG